TTGAGCCATTATACATGTTTGACTCTATTATTACTACAGCCTCACCTAATCTAACAAATATATTTCTAATCAAACAAATACTAAACTAGTCTTGACTGTGATCTCTGTAAGGGCAGAGACCATGCCTGCCTAATTCATGGCTGTGGCCTTAACACATAGCCCAGGACACAGGTTGGATTGGTACTCAAAATGTGTGGATAAAGATAGCTATGTTTTATGGAGCATTATTGTATGCCAGATACCATACTAAATTGTTTGTGTGTTGTACATAATTTCATGTTCATGACAATTCTATAAGGAGGTTCTATTATTCCTTTTGTCCCAGATGAGGAAATTAAAGCTTATGAAGCTTATAGCTACTATTCATATCTAGACATGGCAACCCCAGAACCTGTACCCTAAAACACTGATACACAACCATGTGCATAGCCACCTTAATATTTTAATTCATGTAACTTCTCCCATCAACTCCTTCTCTTCACTTATTAAAGCCCTGCTTCTTCAATCTTTCCAGGACCCCTTGATCACTCTACCCTTTAATTGCTCCAGCAGGAATGTCATATATAACATTCCTATAACAGGGATTTCATGTAATTATCTGTTACTAAAAAGAAATTATAATAACCTTGAGGACAGCACATTCAAAAAACTAAGATCATGGCATTGGTCCCATCACTTCATGGCAAATAGATGGGGAAACAATGGAAATAGTGAGATACTTTATTTTGGGGGGGCTCCAAAATCACTTCAGATGGTAACTGCAGCCATGAAGTTAAAAGATGCTTGCTCCTTGGAAGAAAAGCTATGTCCAACCTGCGCAGCATATTAAAGAGCATAGACATTACTCTGCCAACACAGGTCCATCTGGTCAAAGCTATGGTTTTTCTAGTAGTCATATATGGAGGTGAGAGTTGGAGTATAAAGAAAGCTGGGTGCTGGAGAATTGATGCTTTTGAACTGTGGTGTTGGAGAAGACTCTTGAGAGTTCCTTGGACTGCAAGGAGATCCAACCAGTCCATCCTAAAGGAAATCAGTACTGAGTGTTCATTGAATGACTGATGCTGAAGCTGAAGCTCCATTTCTTTGGTCACCTAAGGAGAAGAATTGACTCATTGGAAAAGACCTGATGCTGGGAAAGATTGAAGGTAGGAGGAGAAGGGGATGACAGAGGATGAGATAGTTGGATGGCATCACATGAGTTTGAGTAAACTCCAGGAGTTGGTGATGGACAGGGAGGCCTGGCGTGCTGCAGTTCATGGGGTCACAGAGTTGGACACGACTGAGCGACTGAACTGAACTGACTGAGGACAGCACGATATCTTAGATATTATTTATCTTAGTGTTCCTTACAGTATTAAGTAAGATTAAGGGCCTACTATGTACCAGGCAACAAGCACTAAGGACCAAAATATAAATAAGATAGTCAATTCACCCTTTCAAAGAGCTCTTAAGTCTTGAAGGACAAACAGACATGAGGAAAAAAAAAATACATCACATTGCAAAGTAACCTGTGTACCAAGAGAGGCAAAAGAGAAACAAGGAGCCAGTTCAACTTGGAGGAGGAAGGAAAGAATTCCTATACCTCATGATGTTTGAGCTGAACTTCTGAAGGATGAGTAGGACTTTTTCAGTTGCTTAAGAGTGGTCCTAATTAACAGAGAAAGCATGTACAAAAGCATGAATGCATCAGGATGCAGATGCTGCTCTGAATGAATAACGTGTTGACTTGCAAGAATGTAGGATTCATTCATTCATCCATTTTTTATTTTTTATTTTTTTTCAGTTTTATTTATTTATTTTACTTTACAATATTGTATTGGTTTTGCCATACATTGACATGAATCCACCATGGGTGTACATGTGTTCCCCATCCTGAACCTCCCTCCCACCTCCCTCCCCATCCCATCCCTCTGGGTCATCCCAGTGCATTCAGTAGATACCTAGTAAACCTAGAATGTGCTAAATGCAGAGGATTCAAAAGTGAGCAAAGAAGATATGATCCCTCACTTTGTGGAGCTTAAAATCTAGGAACGATTGCAGCTGATAACAAAGGGACTGCAGCTGATAATAAAGCTCTAGCAATGATGCGGGAGAGGGGAAGGAGGCAGGGATAGCCAAGTATGTGAGGGAGGAGCTAGGGAGTGGGCTGGACCAGATTATAAGAGACCCCCAATACCATGCTAGGGAGATGAAAATGCCCCTTGAATCCATTACCATGTCCTGCATCTCCAGCCTCCCTTGACAGCTCTCAATTTTGTCCAGTCCTCTCACTGCCACTATTCTCGGTGCAGGCCACCATCTCCTCCTTGAATGAAGGTGACAGTCTTCTAAAGGGCCACCTGGCATCTCACCCTGACCCCCACCCATCATCCCCAATGCAAGCAGAGTGATTTTTCAAAATGAAAATCGTCACATTAGGGTCTCTCATAGACAGAAATCTAAGATGGCCCCATGATCTCCATCCCCTCGTGTTACTCTGGTGATTATCTTACACAGCAAAAGGGATTTTGCAGTTAGTTAAGGCTATTTATCAGCCTTTAAGACAGAGAAATTATCCAGGTGACTCTGCCTAATGAAACGAGCCCTTTAAAAGCAGAGTTTTCTCCAGCAGGTAGCAGAAGGGGAAGTCACAAAGACTTCAAGCCAAGGAGGAATCAAAGGATTTGACATCCTGTTGATGGCTTGTAGATGAAGGGGGTTGTGATATGGAAAAGACCTGAGGGAGGATTCCAGGAGTTGAGAGTAACCCCAGCCAACATAGCAAGCAAGGAACCAAGGACCTCATTTCTACAACTGCAAGAAATCGAATTCTTCCAACAACCTGAGTGAGCTTGGAAATGGATTCTTTCCCAGAGCCTCCAGATGAGCACTAACCCAGCCAAAACCTTGCCTTTAAGCCTTGGGAGACCATGAGCCAGAAGACCCTGACATGCCACGCTGGTCTTCTGACCTGCAGGACTAATAAAATGGGTGTTATCTTAAGCCACTAAATTGGTGGTAATTTGTTAACAACAATAGAAGACTAATACACCATGTGACTTCTAATCCTCCAATAAAATTTCTATTGTAGACTTAACAGGTCCAAGCATCTAATCCTCATAGCAGTCCTATTAGAGTTATTAGGTAGGTTTTTTAAACATTTAATTGAAGTATAGTTGATTTACAATGTTGTGTTAATTTCTGCTGTACACCAAAGTGATTCAGTTTTATATATATATATACATACTTATATATATCCTCAGTTATATATATATACACATTCTTTTCCATTATGGTTTATGACATGATATTAAATACAGTTTCCTGTGCTATACAGTAGGACCTTGTTGTTTATCCATCCTATATAAAATAGTTTGTATCAGGCAGGTATTTGTATTATTGCCATTTCACAGGTGAAGCTCAGAGAGATGAAATACTTTTTCTAAGGTCGCTGAGGTAGTAAGTGACAAGCTGAGATTTTTCCTCAAGACAGTCTGACCTCAGAATCCACACTCCATGACTTCTCATTGCCCTTAGGATCATTCCAAATACCGACAAATGGAATTGTCCCATCTATTTATTTTTCCTTTGGATGACTCAAATGGTGCGTTCAGTCTTGCCAAGATGACACTTCCCCAGAAATCCTTCCTCAACTCTTGCAGACTGAGTAGGATGCTATTCTAGTATTCCTCTGGCACCTGATGCTCACTCTTATCAGAGCACAGAAGGTCTTGTGTTGGACACGTTTAGCATCTGTGTTGGATACTAGAGCACAGTGGGTACTCGAATATTTATCGAGTGCATGCATGAATGAATAAAATATTTCATTCAAGAGGCAGTGAGGAGCCCTTCAAGGTCTTGAAGCAAAGGAATGATCTTATCAAGCCTGTGCTCCAAGGACAAACTGGGAGCAAGACTTGCACACAATGAACCGTCCTCATCAGCATCTGAGGATGAAAAAAAGCTTATTTGCATTTTGGTCTTGGATTTCTTGAGCTGTGCAAGTTGGCTCTTATCTCCACTTGACCACATGTGGGTACTGGGTAATGCCAGAAACTGTCGCGGTAACGACTAGGTTTCTCTTTATGAAGGTGGGATCTGGAAAAAGAGCTGTGGTTTGCAAAACAGCTTGGGCCTGGAACTCTCTCTAGAATTAGGGGTCCCCCTACGAAGAAGGCTATGCGACGCCGAGGCTACGTGAGGAGTCAGTGACGGTGTCAGGAAGTACCCCGCAAGTCTAGACTTCACTCATCTAATCTACACTTGCTCCCGGAGCACACCGCCCCGCCAGTTCTCCTTCCATATGCAAACACTGCGTGCAGACTAAGAAGACTGAAGGCCTTCCGCGTTGTAGGCTGCAGTTACAGATCAGTTACAGCTGGAGGTCAGGTTAATCTTCGTTAGAGATGCCGAGCGTCTCGGCTTCTCTGCGCCGGGGCACTTGTCAGACGGCGCTGCTCTGCAAGTCCAGGAAACGCCCCTGGGGCGCCGAGAAAGATGCGAAAAGTCAGTCCAGCTAGCTCTAGACCCAAGGAGAGGAGCCAGTGGACCCAGACAGACGCAGAGCTAATCCACGCCTAGGCACAGGCTCCAGGCCCTGCGGAGGAGGGGTCCTGGAGTCCCCCTCTTACACAGACGCACTGCAGAGTCCCCAAGCTCGCAGCGCGGGAGAGGGACGGGCCTGGGCTCCGCGCCTCCAGCGTTCGGGCAGCAGCTCCCGGCGCTGGGGGCGGGAGGGGGAGGAGCCACGTGGGGAGGAGCAAAACCCAGAGGCCCCGGGAACCTTGGGCAGAGGCGGAGCCGCGGGAGCCCGAGCCCGGGCGTGCGGCTCTTGGAGCGCACCGTCCCGGCGGAGCACCGCCTCAGCTTGCCTTCCGTGCGGAGCGGGGAGAAGGGCCGGTGCTGAAGAGAGCGAGGGTCCCGAGCGCCAATCCTTCCTCCAGAGCCGCTGGGCTGCCTGCTGCCCCTGCCGCCCCAGTGGGACTCGGCTTCCCCCGCGCCACCTGCGTCCCGGTTGCGCCATGGATCCTTCGGAGAAGAAGATATCCGTGTGGATCTGCCAGGAGGAGAAACTGGTGTCCGGCCTCTCCCGCCGCACCACTTGTTCGGACGTAGTGCGGGTGCTCTTGGAGGATGGCTGCCGGCGGCGACGGCGGCAGCGGAGGAGCCGGCGGCGGGGGGCGGCCGGGGACCCGCCGGGCCCAGGGGAGCTGCCGGAACCCCTGGACGAGGACGACGAGGACGACGACGATGAGGCGCTGCCCCAGGGCATGCTGTGCGGGCCCCCGCAGTGCTATTGCATTGTGGAGAAGTGGCGGGGCTTTGAGCGCATCTTGCCCAACAAGACGCGCATCTTGCGCCTCTGGGCCGCCTGGGGCGAAGAGCAAGAGAACGTACGCTTCGTGCTGGTGCGCAGCGAGGCGTCGCTGCCCAACGCAGGTCCCCGCAGTGCCGAGGCGCGAGTCGTGCTGAGTCGCGAGCGCCCCTGCTCCGCGCGGGGGGCCCCAGCGCGGCCCAGCCTAGCCATGACCCAGGAGAAGCAGCGACGAGTGGTGCGCAAGGCCTTCCGCAAGCTGGCCAAGCTCAACCGGCGGCGCCAGCAGCAGCCGTCGTCGCCCTGTTCGTCCACTTCGTCGTCCGCCGCCTCGTCCTGCTCGTCGTCGTCGCCGCGGGCCACCGAGAGCGCCTCGGTGGAGCGTATGGAGACGCTAGTGCACCTGGTGCTCTCCCAGGACCACACCATCCGTCAGCAGGTGCAGCGGCTTCGGGAGCTGGACCGCGAGATCGACCGCTACGAGGCCAAGGTGCATCTGGACCGCATGCGGCGACATGGAGTGAACTACGTGCAGGACACCTACTTGGTGGGTGCTGGGATCGAACTCGACGGTACCGGCCCGGGAGAGGAGCCGGAGCCGGAGCCCGAGCCGGCGGCAGAGACAACGACGCCGCCCCTGGACGGCGAGGCGAAGGCGGTCGCGCTGGAGGAGCTGGCCCGGCGCTGCGACGACCTGCTGCAGTTGCAGGAGCAGCGGGCCCAGCAGGAGGAGTTGCTCGAGCGCCTCTCGGCCGAAATCCAGGAGGAGCTGAACCAGAGGTGGATGCGGAGGCGCCAGGAGGAGCTCGCAGCGCGGGAGGAGCCCCCGGAGGCCGAGGGAGGCCTCGACGGCGAGCTGCTGCTGGAGCGCGAACGGGTCCGGACGCAGCTCAGCACCAGCCTCTACATCGGGCTCCGGCTCAACACGGACCTGGAGGCCGTCAAGTCGGACTTGGATTACAGCCAGCAGCAGTGGGACAGCAAGGAGCGCGAGCTCCAGGGCCTTCTCCAGACTTTGCACACGTTGGAGCTGACGGTAGCGCCCGATGGGACTCCGGTGTCCAGTGGGCCCTCGCGGGACCCCGGGCCGCAGGCCTGCGCCGAGGTGTGGGTGGACCAGGCCCGCGGACTGGCCAAGAGCTGTCCTGGTAACGACGAGGACTCGGACACCGGGCTGAGCTCCATGCACAGCCAGGACTCGGACTCGGTGCCCGTGTGCGAATCCCTTGTGTAGGAGGAGGAGGGTGGGAGGGGGAGACGGCCGCCGCTCCCTTTCTTGAAGAACTCCGGCTTGGCCGGCTCAGGGACTTGAAACCCGGTGGGGAGTGGGCCCGGAGCTTTTGCCGGCCAGCAGCCCTCTGACTGGGCAAGGGGAGGATGGGGGACGCCGGCCCTGCAGGGGCGCTGCTCAGGCGGCGGAGTGAAAGCGGAGGGTTTTGCTGGACGAGGAAGCTGGGTCTCCATTACAAGCTCTCTCAGGGGAAGGAAGGAGGGAGGAGGTGAGAACCCCCTTATATTGGAAAACAAACGCCCCAGGAAATTGACGTGGTCCGAGCCCATTTTCAAAAAAAGGTATTATGGCGATTTCATCAATTTTTTTTTGTATGGGAAGGACTGATGGCAGCTAGAACTTTAGTTTGTGGTATAAAGTACTTTTTAAAGAAACACTTGGATGAAAAGGAAATTCCTTGAATGTTAATTGTGACTGTGAACGTGTTAAAACTAGCCAAAGAGGACGCACTGGTGTTGGCCTCAGCCTTACATCTTTGATAAAAACCCATAGACACCCACATCCTGGCTGTTTACATTTTTGCATATTTGGGAATTACCCATCTGCTAAACTCTTTGCCTTTTATTTTCTTTCAAAGACTAACTCTGTCTCCTCCTAGCAAATACAGCATATGATAAAACAGGGTCCTTTTTTTTCAAACTCACCTTTTATTATTCTCAAAGCCAAACCTAACCCTTTGAGATATAGAATCAGGGTGGACATAACCCCTGGTTAAAAGTTAATCTAGGCCCTTTACGATTTGCTCCTGCAAAGGTGATGTGTGTTGTCCTTTTATTCTTATTGCCACTTAATCCTGCAGACACTGTTATTCCGGAAAAAATAAAAGGGAAGTTGCAGAATTCAAGTACAACTACATTTGCTGTTTAATGAGCACTCTGATTGAAAGGTAAGCCTTGAAAGCAAAGATCTTTGTTAGTGTTCAACATTTTAACTAAGTTGCATGATTAAAACCAGCCATGACCTCAACAGATTTTACCAAACAAACCCAAGTCTGTCTTTGGTCAGAGATTAATTAGTTACTTGTCCAAACCTAAATCGAGATAGTGTAAATATCAAGTTTACTAGATAAGACCTGAAAAGAAAACATAACGTAAAACAATCCAGTAGTACATCTTAGGTGAAGAATTTGGTTCACAACGGCACGTAGCCATAGATAAAAGCATATAAAATGGAGCTAAAGACTTGACTTGAATTACTCTTGTCTGGCTCACACCTTTGCAGACACCACAGCATGCAAGTGCAATGCTTCTCTCTTAATAGCTAGTGACAGAGCCCTGTGGGGACTCAGTGTAATTGTTCCAGTTATTTCAATGAAAACTTATCAGCTGTAGCTAGTTGTTGCCTGGGTGGAAGGAGCCTGCTGGTGGTGTTCCCTCCGGAGCTCAGAACTTCTGAGGAATGCGGGATCTAATCTCTCCTGAGGAGGTATTAACAATGGGGTGTGTGTGCGGTGCCAGCCTGGTATCAGCCTCACTGTGTAGGGGCTGGCTCCAGTTTCAATACTACATGGGAAGATAACTTAAGAGGTCTTGCTTTGTAGAGAACTTTCTTTCCTTGGAGAGAGTCTCTACTTGTTGCCAAGAGCGACCTGCTTACCTGAACTCCTCAAGCCATTTGAGCTGTCTCCTTTTTAAGAGACAGGCTTCCCTCCACCCTCCACCACCACCATGCCATTACAACATGTGTAGATATTTTCAGATTTTCAAGCAAAATGGGAATTAAAAGGCCGTTTTCTTAATTGATGTTTTCCAAAGACATTAGCTGGCATAATTACGGTTTTTTCATTTTGTCGGATGCAGAAAACACCTATGGATTTGGTCTTGAGCATGATTAAAATGAGGAAGGGACCAAAAGAAACCCACTGTCCCTAGACAATCATCTGATCCCATAAACACAAAGCCTAATGATAGCTTTCTTTTGGAGGCAGAGGTAAAATCCTCATTAGAGTGTGACAAACGCTACTTGTCTGAATGGTTTATGCTGGCAATAGCCTGACCTGGTGGTTTTAAAATTATTGTGCTTTTTTCCCCGCCCCCAGGGTGGCAGGGGGAGGTGGTTCTTGGACGTTTATTAACTCAAAAGAGAACACAGAAGTTGGCAGAACAGGACTGCCTGGCAGAAAGGGGCTGTTTTCCTTTTCACTATTATTATTTTAAACTTTGACAGGCTGCTGATGTCAGCAAATATGCCTGAAGCCCATAAAGCAAATAAGCCACATCACAGGGAGAAGGCCTGCAGGATTTTCTGGTGCCCTCTTTCTAGAACCTTCCCATGCTGGCCACCCGAAGATGCTTCTCCAGCTACCTCTTCAGGCAGTGAAGGAAGTTTTGTTCATAACAAAGGGTGACCCAGTCTGTCCATTTTTTCTTTCATCCAAATCAATTATTATATCCCCCAAAGGCACTTTCTGTGTGGGTAGGAGAAAGGAGAACAGGGTGGAAAAGGAAACAATGGTTCCTTTTACTGAGAACTCTTGCAAGCCTGAGGAAGGTGAAATATGGGGATAAAAAGTACGAAAACCGTTCAGCGTGCTTAGAAAGTGCCTAGCAAATGCACTTTTCATTCACTTTTAAAACAATCACCATGCCACTAAGAAATGAGAATGAATGCATAACAGTGAATGCATCAGCACCAGGATTTAAGTTTTCTGGGAAAACCACCTCCTCTCCTGTGCTCCAAGTCTAGCAGAATTCCTGGGGAGGAGTCAGCAAGCTTGTGGAGGAGAGGATGAAATGGAGCCGACTCCTTACCAACCAACCCCATCTTTTTTTGAAACTGATAGAAGTTGATAGAATTTATTGTATCTTTGATCTTAGTGATCCCATTCTCAGCCATCTGCCAAACCAGAAAGATTTTATCTGGCATCTCTGTCTGTTTACTTTCTCATAAAACACGATAATGGCGATGATGATTTGCTAATTAGAAAAGTTACATTCTATAGTCTTTATGGTGGTCCTAAAAATAATATAAATAAAAAGGAAGTCACTCAAAATCACATCACCTAAAGTTATCATTATCAAAATTTGGTATATTTCCTTCCAGACCTTTTTGAATTGTGATGAGTTCATATTTTGCCTCTTTTTAAAATATATATATATATATATATATATATATATAATTTTAATGAGATTGTCTGAATGCTTTTAGGCTCAGATTTTGACAGACTCTTGTATACAGCTCCACCCGTGCATTGGATGCACCCCATTGCATGTAATTGTTTTCATGTTATTAGGTTGTTCCCAAATTTCTTTTTCTATTATAAAACAACACTGTGATAAGCTTCTTTGTGTACATATCTGTTTTCCTAATTAGATACTGCTCTCCACCAATAAGACAAGTTCCCAAAAAGAGAATTCTCAGGTCAAAGAGTACAAACACTTAAAGGTTTGACACTTAATTGCCAAATTGCCTTTCAAAAGATTTGGTCTAATTACAATCTGCCTTGCATAACAGTACATATTTCACCACACTTTGACTCTCATTAGGTATTATATTTTGTTAAGAGAATATTTTAACCAAAATTAATTAGTTAATTCATTGTGGCCCCTGAAACCCAGGACTGGCAACCACTGACTTAAAATATCCATACAGCCTGAAGGGCAGGTCATCTGACCAGAAGTGTTAAGAGGACACAGTGCTTTCTATTCTTCCCACTTCCTTAATTTCCCTGAATTGCTTATTAGTAGCAATATTGTCTCCTAGGGGGCCCATCTGAGCAGGAGGGCCAAAAACTCTACAAGAGCAACTTAAGGATATTAATGAATATAATCAGATTTATAGAAAGAAAATATTCACTGTCTTTTTCTATCTTGAGTCTAGTAGAAAAGATTATCCTCAGAAGGTGATATCATAGAACATACTTGATTTCATGCCTCTCCCTATCCATCCTATCAAAAATTAAACCAAAATAAATACATAAGCCTACTTATTTATTAACAGCCTCTAATTAACAGTTTAGATTTTTCTAGGCATTTCTTTCTACATTTGATACTATGCTTGAATTCACCCTTAAATTCTTGAAAAAGGAAGATTTGATCATGACAATTTGTGAGGCCTTCAGGGTGAAAGTGTTTGTGAAATGCATTCTCCTAAAAAGAAATGAAGGGGAATGAGGAGGGACTGTTTATTCTTGAGTGCTTTCCAAATGCTAGTTCCGAGCATTTTTTCCTGCATTCATCTTTTGTGATAGACCTTTTTAACCTCCAGTTTTTATAGATAAAGAAGAGAAGGCCACCCATGTGGTGAGTACAAGGTGCCAGAGTCTAACCTAAGCCTGACTAAAATCTATACCCATTTTGCCGCATCACTCCAGGTACATTTACCCAAGAAAAGCTCTGCACACTCAGAAAAAAGATTGCTCACAGCCCTCAGAGTGTTGGCACTGGAGAAAGTGCTACTCAGAGACTATCAATTCTTGTCCAGGTGTTTCCACCAGGGAGATGGAATGATTCTTTTCAAAACCATAGGGCCAGTAAGTATGTACAAGGTGAGGATTTAGGAGAACACAAAGGAGGAGAAATTCCTATGTAAATATCTGGGCATCTCTCTGAGAGTTGAAGACTTTGCCAGTGTTCTCACATAAAATTAGGACCCTCTGTATCACTACACAGGCTTTGACTGAGTGTCCCTAGGACAAGGTGCATAGTCAGCGGCCTGGAGTCCTTGGCCATCAGAGCAGACAGCTGTGCCCTGTTCACAGTCTCATCTGGAAGGCAGTACCAACCATAAGTGTGCTGGAGCTGTCCCCAGCTTTTACCCAGGTCTTGTTCCTGTGAGAGCCTCTGGTACACAAGGACCAGAGAAGGGTGGAAGGAGGCCGAGTCGGGTCTTCCAAAGATCCCTGTGCCCATTGGGCATTTCAGTGTCCATGCTGACTCCACTGCACATGTGGGCACGTAGAGTGGATTGCTGTGAAGGACCACTGCCTCAATCTCTGCCCTTCT